CACTGCCGAGCCCCATGAGGGGCCCGGCGGTGGACCTGCAAGGCCGGCGGGAGTGCAAGGAAGCCCCGCGAAGGCCCTCCCTGGCCCCAGGCAGGCAGAGGTGGGGAGAGGCAGGGAGGAAGCAACTTCCCCTCCCTCTTCTCCTGCCTCCTCCTGGCACGGTGGACCTGCAAGGCCGGCGGGAGTGCGAGGAAGCCCCGCGAAGGCCCTCCCTGGCCCCAGGCAGGCAGAGGTGGGGAGAGGCAGGGAGGAAGCAACTTCCCCTCCCTCTTCTCCTGCCTCCTCCTGGCTGAATGAGGGCCGGAAGCAGGGGGCGGGGCTTCGTCATGTGCCCCGCCCCCCGTACCTCACCCGGGGGAACTGTGATTCCCCTCGATCCCCCCCGAAATGACCTCTGCCCTAGAGTCAGATCTGACTGGCTTTCGAGCAAGGGATACTTTTACATTCTATTTGATGGAACTTGCCCTGGTCCTGCTATGCGGGGAGGGCAGGATCCAAATCTAATAAAATAAAATAAAAAACAGATGGAAAGAATTGGGACCGCGGGAAGGATGGAGCCATACCTGTGCTGTGTGGAAAGTTGGGGATGTCCGTGTATTGGAAAGACTCCTGGTTCTTCAAGCTGTCAGCAAGCAGACCCAGCCCGGAGCCACAGACAATGGCGATCCGGGGCCGCTGCTTCGTGTGGCCCAGGAGCCAATCCACCGTCTCTCGGCAGTGGTCAAAACTGTAAGGAGAGAATCCACCGTTAAGAATGAATTTTGAGTCTGGGTTATGGAGATGCTGTAACTCATGTCTAGAAGCACACAGAAGCAATGGGTGCCTTTTTGTTTTAAAAGAAGAATGATATAAGAAAGAAAAAAGGAAAAAATGGGGTATATAGAGAAAAATAATTGTATAAAATTCATATTATGTATAAGACAAAAACAGAGTATTTCTCAACCCTTTTATTACAGTTTTCAACAGAACGTTTATAGTTCCGGTCAGGGGTCATTTCGTAGAAAAAGAGGTGCAGGAGCTCATTAGCATAACTCATTAGAATAACTAATTTGCATACACCACACCCCCTGACATCACCGGAAGTGTGTCAGCAGGCAAGCACTTTGTGATAAATAAGTGGGTTTGGGGTCGCAGTTTGGGCACGCGGTCTCTAAAAGGTTCGCCATCACTGCCCTACATATAGTCGTGGGGGGGGGATATGTATTTGTTCCATGAACATCTGTGGCAAGGTGCGCTGGTAACTACTGTACTGTTAAGTTTAGCTTGGTGATATGATTTTGCTGTTTCTTTCCTTAAATCTGTGTAGCTAGTGGACACAACTGTCATTCCCCAAACCCAAACCTTGTGCTCTAGTTTAATAACCTGTAGCAGATAAAGATTTCCTGTTTAAGAGCGATGCCTGTTTTTCAAACTTCTCCCTGCGCACCAAGGTCTTTGCTCATGCTAACATGCACGAACGGGGGAAGGGGGGTGAAGTACTTGGGAAACTCAGTCCCTTGTACATGTTCAGAGGCCATCTATACAAGTGTTCCCCGAACCAAACCTCCATTGCATTTTCAAGAACTTCGGGGGTGTTACTGTTCAGGAAGCAATCGGAAGTGAAGGGATTCTTTTGTTAATTATCTTCACCTCTTATGTCTGCTTAGGTATGAATGGTGTTGCGCTTCTTTGGAATGCTCAGAATTTGTTCGTACTAGGTGACTGGTGAAGTACAATATCACTGAAGCGGCTTGCTATAGGAAATACTAATTGGCAGGGGTTATTTCCTGCAGGAGCGCACAGGAGCGGAGCTCCGGCAGGAAAGAGCCCAGGGGGCAGGCACATGCAACAAGCCCCACCCCCTGCTCCCAGCAGCCCTCAGTCAGTGCAAGAAGCAGCCAGGTAAGTTGCAGAGCCCCCCTCCAGCCCCCCGATCCAAAACAGTCCAGTGGCACCTTTAAGACCAGGTTTTATTCAGGTACAAGCTCTCCCTCCTCTGCGAAGACAGATCTGCATGTCCTCCCCCACAATAGCTAGCAATCCAAAACAGTCCGGTGGAGCC